GTCAAACTTCTTTTAACCAATAGGTCGAAAATTCCGTCAAACTTTAATATAAGGGTACGACTTTTTAAAAAATCCTAATTAATTTGCTTTTTTCATGTATAGGCTAAAAAATGTCAAATTTGACCTAAATTTTAAGGAAAGGTCAGGTCAGAGAAAGTTTTTTCGACAATTTTTGCGGTGTAGATGAAAACTGACCTTAAAAATGACCTAATTTTTGAGGGCAGAGGGAATTGTTCGTCAATTTTTTCCGTTAAGGTCAAAACTGCCCTTAAAATTGACCTACATTTTGAAGGTAAAGGGAATTGTTTGTCAATTTTTTACCTGTAGGTTAAAACTGCCCTTCAAATTAACCTAAATTTTGAGAGCAGAGGGAATTGTTTGTTAATTTTTGACCTGTAGATTAAAACTGCCCTTAAAATTGACCTACATTTTAAGGTCAGAGGGAATTATTTGTGAATTTTTGACGTTTAGGTCAAAACTGCCCTTAAAATTGACCTACATTTTGAGGGCAGAGGGAATTGTTTGTCAATTTTTTACCTGTAGGTTAAATCCGCCCTTAAAATTGACATCAATTTTACGGGCAGAGTAAAACGCAATTTTTAACGCTTAGGTCAAAACTGCCCTAAAATTGAACTAAATTTTGAAAGCAGAGCGATAAGTTTGTCAATTTTTAACTTTAAGTCATAACTACTCTTAAAATTGACTTAAATTTTGAGGGCAGAGGGGTTAGTTTGTTAGTTTTTTACCTGTAGGTTGAATCTGCCATTAAAATTGACCTAAATTTTGAGTAATTTTGACCTGTAGGTTAAAACTGCCCTTAAATTGACCTGAATTTAGGTCAAATATAACTTGTTTCTGACGATGGACCTACCTTGACAGTGGGCCAACCTTGACTATGTTCCCCCTACTATAAGGGTCCCTTAAAACTTTCTGAAACAGCGGCGGCGGCGATATGATTTTATATTAATAGGGATATATATATATATATATATATATATATATATATATATATATATATATATATATATATATATATATATATATATATATATATATATATATATATATATATATATATATATATATATATATATATATATATATATATATATATATATATATATATATAAAACATTTTTTCACAACATTCTGCTTTTTTATTTTTTATATTCTATTAAATATACTAATAATTGTGTTTGTAATTGATTAAATTAAAAAAAGGTTAATTTCAATATACAATTTATAGAATTATATTGTTATATTTCACAGAATAAAAATTATGTTTCCTTTTTTTATTTTTCTGTAATAAAGCATGTAGTTTGAAGACATGGACAAATGTCACCTCCGCCATCTGTCGCGCAAAATGCGCGGCGACACATCAATATTTTATTCTAATATCGATCTTACACACACATACATCCTACACTAAAATTAAAGATACATACATTTAGATACATTACATTTAGATTTATACATTTCCTACTTTAAACATTAATTTCTCAATAATTTAACGTTAATTTATCCTAAAAAATAGATAAATTTAATCCTGGGATATTCCTTTATTAATTTCAATAGTTTTCTTTAACTGTTTTTACCTAATTATCGAAATTTTCTAACGAAATACGAAGTGACGACGAAGTAACGACGAATTCGTCGTATTTTCGTAGTTCACCCATCCGTCAGGATTTCTAGTAAAATGTATCGAAATTGTAACAAAATTCTTTAATTTTCAGATTTTTCTGAATTATCTAGACATTTTTACTGAATTGACATTTAATATCTATTCTAATATTTATTATTTAATTATTCATTATTATTTACCTTTTATTATTAATTATCAGCGCGCGAGAGCGCGGCACGTGATTGTTTTACCGTGAAAGAAAATGTCATTTTTTATTTATTATTATTTATTTTTATTTATTCCGACTATCTGTATAAGAGATCATTCGAAAAGAGGATCAGGTACGATTTATCGGATTGAAAAATTGGAAACTGGAAGTCATTTGGAACAACTCCCCACCAAGTTTGTAGCGGTGCATTGTAGAATAACCTGCCCACCTCTGTGGTGTGTTTTTATGTATAAAAACACACCACAGAAATGTTAAAAATATATACTTAAATAAATTAAAACTGAACTCCAAACACTATCGATTCTGTACATCAATTTTTAAATAAAGACAAAAACAAATAAGAAATAAAGAGTAGGCAAAATGAGCAATCACAGTATTAATTTATTAATGGAAGTAATTTAAAATCATTTCGTATGAACTATCAAAATTATCTAAGTCAGTTACTTTATTTAAACTATTATTTCCCACCTTTTTTATGAAAAAAAATTTCTCCCATTTTATAAAATGTGGAATAGAATCATTTTCTAAATTTGTTAAGTGATTGCTAATAACACTATGATATTTTACATTTAACCCGTTGATTGTCGCTGACGCATATATGCGCAAAACTAAGACTGGTCAAAAGTGTTCATGACGCATATATGCGCAACTTAAAAAAGGTGATTAAAAACTTCTTAAATATTCCTGAAACCGGTTACTCGGAAGTTTTCGAGGTCGCTGATTACGAATATGACATTCGTTTTCCAAAGTTCAAAATGGCGGATTCAATATGGCAGACGACAAAATAAAAAATTGATTGGGTTGACTAAAAACGTAATACTCGGGGGTTTTTGGGGTCGCTGATTACGAATCTGACATTAGTTTTTCCAAATTGAAAATGGCGGATCCAATATGGCGGACAAAAAAATAAAAAATTTATTGGATTGACTTGAAACTGAATACTTTAGGGTTTTTGAGGTAGCTGATTTCAAATCTGACATTAGTTTTCCAAAATTCAAAATGGCGGATCCAATATGGCGGTCGACAAAATAAAAAATTGATCAGATTGACTTGAAACTGAATACTCGGGGATTTTCAGGGTTGCTGATTACGAAACTGAAATCAGTTTTTAAAAATTCAAAATGGATGATACAATATACGATTGGAAATTGAAAAGGAACATTTAGAGAATATAATTAGGGTTAATGTGAGTATTATCGAGGAATTTTGTATAAGTTATACCTCCAAGTGGTTTAAAAATAATAAATGAATATACAGTAGAACCCGGTTAATACGCTCCCGTTTAATACGATTTCCCGCTTAAAACGCTCATTTATAGTGGTCCCTGCAATTAAAGACATACATTTTATTTCCCGCTTAATACGTTTTCCCGCATAAGACGCATTCTTAGCGCGGTCCCTACAGAATCGTATTAACCGGGTTCTACTGTATATGGTTTTGTTTTTTATTTTAAATGAATATTTAAGCTTTTTTTCTTTAAAAAAATTGCTAATGTTGTAGAAAATAGTTTTAATATTTAAATCAATAATTAAATAGAAGACTCAAATGCTTGTAATCTGGCGGGACTGAGTATGACTTGAGGGTATGTTTGCGTGGCAAATATCGTTAGTGAGTGTATTATCGCGCGGTAAATTTCGCGGATAATTTATTTATTGCTTTTTGGATTTTTGTAATAGTTACTTAATTAAAATGTAGTAAATGTAAAAAATTAAAAGGAATAATAATAGTTTTTAAAAATATAAATATAAATATCGCAAGAACTTGAATTAAAAAAATTTTATGCATTATAATAAATAGACGAATTCAATAGTAAACTAGTATCACAAGAAGAAAGATACTTGGTTTTATTATAATAATTTAATTAGTCTCATAATATAAAATAATACTCTAATAAAATATTCTAAAGCAATTATTATCAAATATTTCTAACGTATAGTCAATTCTCATTTGACACTTTTGCTCCTTTTCTACAGCTATTAACCCTTAAACCGCACACTTCCGAATCCATCCTTAAACCGCACACTGGGTGTGCGACACCCGGGGACTTTAAAGTGTGTTTTTCAAGCTGGAAAAGGATATTATGGTTCAGAAAAATTCTCTTATGTAGCTCAGTACATCTATTTTGAAGGAAAATGAGTTTCATAATGATTTATTTAATCTTAATAATTAAAAAATTGTTTTTTAAAACTATTGAAATCACCTTAAACCGAAAACTGGGTATCAGCCACCCAGAAATTTTTCGCTGTTAATTTCATAAAGTTATCAAATACACAAAGACACTTGGGAGACTAATGTCCCTCACGGAACATAAAGTTAAGTACAAAATGTGTTATTCAATAGCGACATATGTTCAATTTTTACGACTTTAAACGAAATATTAGAGTAAAAAGCTAGAATATGGGTGTCGCACACCCAGGGTGCAGTTTAAGGGTTAAAAATGTTTTCCTTAAATATACAGATTTCACTTACTTTAATTTTTTGATCCCTCTCATTACTCTTTATTTTCTTGCTTGTATTTTGTAACTAATATAAGATTTACTAAAATTCTGAACGTTCAAATAAACGAGATTTTTGTTGTGTCTAAATGTGTTTAACAGTAGTAGTACAGTAACAGTAACAGTAACAGTAACAGTAACAGTAACAGTAACAGTAACAGTAACAGTAACAGTAACAGTAACAGTAACAGTAACAGTAACAGTAACAGTAACAGTAACAGTAACAGTAACAGTAACAGTAACAGTAACAGAACAGTACAGTACAGTAGTAGAGTGGCTCAGCAATGGTTCACGAATCTGATTGGTTAAGGGGCGTGGCTTATTTATAGTTCACGAATCTGATTGGTTAAGGGGGCGTGGCTTATTTATAATTCACGAATCTGGTTGGTCGAGAGGGTGTGGCTAAGGGGCGGGGATGGGCGTATGTGTAGGAATAGTTCAGAGCTGTGATTGGTTAGATTATGGTTCATGTTTGTGATTGGTTATGGGTGGGTCTTGGAAAACTGGAAGTAATGGGCCCAAGATGGAGTAGGAAAATGGTGGAAAATGTACTACGTGAAAACGGACAAGTGAGCAGTGAAAATAAAGGCGACGTTTTGCTACGATAATAAAGTGTCACAGTTTATGAGTATAGTTTTTGGAAGTACAAGGTAAGATGTGCAGGTGTACAGCAGGTAGACCACCCGCAAGGCATAGTTATAGAAAAGGTAAGTTGCGTGAAAAGGTATTTGAGCGGGTTAAGAAAATGAAATACACAGTATTTTAAATGATAGGTAAGTTTTATTATAATATTAAAATACTTAGTACAATTGAAGTAGTTAAAATTATGTAACTTGTTTAATTAATTATATGTAATAAAGTAGTATTTTTCATGATTATTTAATAATAGATTGTGTATGTATTGTTTTAAATATGTGTAATAGAATTATTACAATTGATCGCTAATAGACTTGACAACACCGTGTGCAATGAAATCATTTTAAACATAAATGAGTTCAAGAAATACAATATCAAAATGTAGTGTAATAAATGTGTTTTCCAATTTTGTTTGAACTTGTCTTTTAAACAAATCAAATTTAGCGAGTAAAAGTTGTTTTATAAAATCTAAATTGTAAAAAAATAATTTTTTCAGTTAAAATATAATTCGAAACACTTTGAATTAGTGCTTGTGTACAAACTTCAACATTTTTTAATAAACGCTCTAGTCTACGAAAACGTTCATCGACACACAATAATATTTTTGAGTCCTTGGAAAGAACTTTTTTGCATTACAATGGAAGGAGTGTAGATTTTTTTCTTTTTTGATTCACCACATACATTTTCATCTTCTTCATCCACAATAGCGTCGAAAATAATAGCTTTTGATCCGTATGCACTAGAAAATAGAAGACGCTATTTTCCTAAAACAGCACCTTGTGAATATAGAGGTGATGATAAGTTTGATTCGTCAAAATAGGTATCAATTAATTCAATTTTTTGTTGTAGAGCTGTCCATGTTTTTGAATCAAATGTAATTCCTTGTGAATAATGGTTTAAAAGTCGAATAACAGGTAAAGGTGTACAATTTTCTTGTAGTTCAATTCCCACAATCACTTTTTTTTGAAAATGAACTATTTAATGGATAAATAGTTGGTAATAATAGATGTAAATTTTTTCTGTGTGTTGTAATGTCACGTGTCATAAACAAACGTTTTGCAACAAACCGTGTGATTTTTTTTTGGGTGATGATATGAGAGGTATATTTTCTTTATTCGACTGAGAATCAGTAAAATCTTGTGTATCAATTTGAGACATGGTTAATACTTTGATGTCTGTACAGTGACTGAATGAAAATATTTTTTTTCCCTCTTATGTAGACCGAAAAATTGATTGGTAGGGATAAAAATTTAAAAACGGTAAAAACACGTTTTTAAAATTTCTAATTTAAATATATTTTCAAGATCGGCATCTGTTTTAAAAATAATGTGTAACAAACCGATTTTATTCAAAACAAGTATGTAATCCCCGCTTTCTCGGCGCGTTTTTGAGACGCAAAGTATGCCTTTACTTCAAGCAGCAGTCTTACGGTCCTAGGACGGTAAAGACCACTTTCTCGTCCTAGGACCGTAAAACTACTACTTGAAGCAAAGCCATGCTTTCCCTCTCAAAACGCACCGAGTAACCGCGGATTACATTCTCGTTTTGTATAAAATGTCGTGTGCACCTCGGACGCACGCATTTCTCGTCCTCGCTTGTTACTTGTACTCGGCTTCGCCTCGTACTACAAAATCAAGCTCGGACGACAAACTTGCGCTTTGCGTCCTCGTTGCACAATGTACTATTTAGACTACTTTTAATACTATTAAAAAGCAAATAACTGTTTTCAAATTCTCAGAAAAAAGTTTTTTTTGTGTAACGGTAATAAAATAACCATAAAAATATAAAATATTGTTTCCAAAATTTAATTAAAAATAATTGATTTTTGAAATATATGTAATATTTAATCTTTTAGAAATGGGAAAATTATAAATTAAGGTTAATGTTTCAAAGAAAATCATTGAAAAAAAGCGGCAAGTAGTTAAAAAAGACCGCCCAATAGTTAAACTTAACAATTAAAAACAGTCGGCAGAGAACTAGATATCAATAATATGAGAAGGATGCAACATTGTTCTTTTTTCATGGTTGTTAAAATTACAAAAAGTAAAAATGAAACTATAGAGATCAGAACGTTTCATTGTCAAGACGACTGCATTGGAAAATCATAAAAAGTGAAATTTACGATAGCGTGATTTTTAGCTAAGGAGGAAAAAGGCTTAAAGTGAGGTACCTGTCTACAACCCGAAAGAGTAATACAGACGGCGCCACGTAAATAAAGAGCGGAAAATTTCACCAGGACCATGGAGACACTCAAGGGTTCGTGTCGCATAGTGGCTGTTCTATTATTTTCCAAAAATGATATTTGTGTGTTTCAAAAGGTATATGTATTAGTAGCCAATAGGATTCGAGTAAAAACTTAACATAGAAACAAAAATAATGTTTAAAAAGTCCTTTTCAGAGTAAAAGATTCAGTTTTTACGAAGTCTTCACCATGGTAACACTGGGTGACTTGACCACTGTTTTAGAAATTTTAAATTTCGACGAGGAAAAGAGTTTAAAAATTTTTCATTTAATTTTGGATAATTGTGATGATGCGGAATTGTTACAAGTAGCTCTCGAATTAAGTGATATTAATTTAATTCGTTGTATCCAAAGTAGATTAGAAAATTCAACGGACAATTTCAAAGTTTTAATTGAAAGACATATAGGTGTGTGAAACTTTATAAATTTTTTCTAATTAAATTTAGTTTTTATAAAATAATTTGAATTACAAATTTTTAATTTTTAGATTGTTCAGTGTTTATATGAAAATAAAATTGAATTTCTTGAAGTGATTTATAAAACATGATTTTTTAGATTTTATAATTTTTCTAATTAAATTTAGTTGTTTATAAAATAATTTAAATTACAAATTTTTTAAAGTGTTAATTTTCAACATTTTTAGTGTTTTTATGAAAAATATTGAATTTCTTAAAGTGGTTTATAAAATGTATTTTTTTTTAGATTTTATAACTGTAAATAATGCAGTTGGTGACGAGGATGCAATCGAACCGATGGAACTGAATGACAATGAGGATGTGCAATCAAATGCCTCTACAATACCATATAATGGAGAGGAATGGTTTGATAATGAAAATAGAGAAGAATCAGATGCCAATATTGATGACGAAGAAGAACGTAATAGACGTTTATTACTTGAGGATTCAAGTGATGAAAATTCAAGTGATGACGCTTCGAGTGTTCAAGATTCCAGTATTACGACGGATTCAGGATTTGAAACGTCGTATTCAATTTTAACATCGGAAAGCGAGCACACAGAGGTGAATAAAGATGATGATGATAGCGAAGATGATGAAGAAGAAGAAGAAATAAACGAGGAAGAAGAAGTAATCGAGGAAGTAGTAAATGAAGAAGTAATGCAGGAAAATGAACAACCAGATGAGGTTATGGAGCCTCAATACTACAACCAAGCTGGAGGCAGTAGAGATATCCCCAGAGACAACTCGTCAATAGCGCGTGAAAATATTCGAAAACGCTTCCCGATACAGAGATATGCTAAAAAAAGATGTAAATACAGCGTTGGCGATTTGGTACGTGTCAGTCGCGCTAGAGGAACCTTTGCAAAAGGTTATGAAGCTGGATGGACAGAAGAATTATTTGTTATCACGCGTGTTATAAATTGGAGAGAATATTCACCCACTGTTTATTTATTTATTTTTTTATATTGTTTATACTCCTGCCCTATTGGCCTTACGCACTTCGACAAGAGTCCCCGAGAAATACTTTTTTGGATTAAGCATAACCATTCTACTTAGAAATTTTCTATATATTAACCTAATTTGCGTCTACAGCCGACTTTATTAGGAGTACTCGCATTACGCCTGGACCACCCGTCAATGGGTTTTCTCGCCAGAGAAGAGGGAAACTGTAGAAAACCTCTCTGAGTACAACCGGTTTATCGACAGTCGAGTTCTAATGGTGTGTACCGGACAATAATCGACGGTGCACATCATTATACCTCGACGTCAAACCTCCCGCTCAGATTGTCTCACAAGCCGGAAAAATACCAAGCCAAGTGGGCGCGAACCAAGGGTACTTATACCCTAGGTCCTTAAACGACCACCAACGCCAGGCATCTATCCGACTGAGCCAATCTGTCGGTTCACCCACTGTTTATGAACTAGAGGATCTATCTAGAGAAAAAATTGATGGTGTTTTCTACGAACAAGAATTAGCTGATGTTAAAAATAAAGACTTAAACAATGACGAGTTTATTGTTGAAAAAATAATACATACCCGCGGAAGAGGTTTAAGAAAAGAAGCTTATGTAAAGTGGGCTGGTTATCCGGCTAAATTTAATTCTTGGATTCCGTTTTCTGACATAAAATCTTTAGAATGAAAAATGACCAGTTTTATATTCTACTACCTAGTTATAGTAGTATGAAATATTTTCCTAATAACACCATTACAAATTTCACTACGCAGCTACCAAAAGAAATACGTTTACAAGGAAAATAGGTTGTAGCCACCACTGAAATTCAATTCCCACGATCATTTCTTCATGTACGTACTGAATCTCAACTAGAAAATAGAATTGTGCTTTTATCAATCCAAAAAGGTAAATTAGATAAACCAAAAGAAAAATATAAGTTTTTCAATTTATCCGATAATAAGGAATTTAATGGCTTATCAGTTTTAGAAAAATACTCTCTACCATTAAAAATTCCAAAAAAGAGTTTTACATTTGATAAGTGCCACTCTATCAATAATAATGTCAACACTGGTTACGAAATACTTCATGGAGAATGGTTAAAACCTATAGTATCTTTTTTTCCTCCAGGTATTTACAAAGATATTCAAAGTCTTCTATATGCTATAAACAATACACCTTCTCTTAAGGAACACTTTCAATTTGTATATGATAATAACAATAATAGTTATGTACTACTAAAAAAAACCTGTACTGAGAAATGTGTCATACCTGGACGTCATTTTCTAGTAATCAGCAGAAAAATTTCAAAAATATTGGGCTTTGAACCTTTAGAACTCATACCTCTACATACATAGAGAGCGTGTCAACCTCCAAGCCTTTCATATGGAATACCTCAACAGTTATTCGTTTATTGTGACGTATGTGAACCAAGAATTACGGGTGATGTTAAAGCACCTTTATTACGAGTTGTACCTGTAGACACCAAAAACTTTATTTTTGGGTCAACTCAAGTGACTCAATTTTCAACTCCTAATTACATACCTGTTTTAAACACAACATTCAGGACAATAGAAATCGATATAAGAGACAACTTGGGACTTTCTATACCATTTGAATCTATTTCATTGACTGTGACACTTCATTTTAAAAAAATCAACTAAACAGGAACTCCGAAAAATGTCTATTTACGAAAATTATTACACTTCACAAGTCGGCAGAGGTGGTGTATCGCAAGTATATGTTGGATCAGCTTATCAAAGAGGTCACGGAATTGGTAGTTTCCTTGGTGGATTATTTCGACGTGTTTAACCACTCTTAGCGCGTGGAGCAAGAGCTGTTGGTAGAGAAGTATTTAATACAGGGCTCAATGTGATTGACGACGTTGAAAATAAAATCTGAATCATAAAAAGAAAATTCTTAAAAAACAAAAGAAGAAAGGGAAAAAAACCAGAAAAAATAAAAAGAAGCCAAAAAATTTAAAAAAATATAAAACAAAAAGAAGAACAAAAGTTAATATTTTTGGTAAAGTTTAAGTACTTTTCAATAAAATGTCTTTCTTACATTCTCATTCTTGTGAATGTTTAAAATCAGAATTGGATCTTTTTACTTTACCACCAACTCAAACAGCTATAGAAAGTTCACAATGGGTGCACTACAAACCTGTTTTATCCCTCACAGATGACTCACCGATAGAATTCGTCGTTCCTGGTCACGGAGATGAATATATCGATCTTCCTCATACTATGATCAGTCTCAAAGTTCGTTTAATTGTACCAGCAAGAACTGCAGAAAATGCCGACAACATAAGTAAAATAGGCCCAGTAAATAATTTATTACATTCTATGTTCAACCAGATTGATGTCTACTTTAACCAAAAACTTGTCTCACCACAAAATAACGCTTATGCTTATAGAGCCTACATTGAAACTTTACTCAACTACAATAACGTAGCAAAAACCACTCATCTTACATCTTCGTTATGGTCTAACGATACTGCTGGTAAAATGGAAGAATTTGGTGATGAAAATAAAGGTTTAGTTGAACGTCGAAAATATCTAAGTGATTCTAGAAGAATTGACATGGTCGGACATTTACATTGTGATGTTTTTAATCAAGATAAATTTTTACTTAACGGTGTGGAATTACGACTACGACTTGTTCGCTCAAAAGATGCCTTTTGCTTAATAGACCCTACAGGAGTATCTTCCTTACACATCGAAGAAGCTTCTTTACTTGTACGTAGAGCAAAAATTAGTCCTGGGGTTTTAATTGGTCATGCCAAGGCTCTCTCTAGTGGTACCGCTAAATATCCTATTACTAGAGTAGAGGTAAAAGCCTTGTCACTTCACGCTGGTATTCACAGTGAAACTCTTGATAATGTTATACTTGGTCAACTACCTAAAAGAATTATTATAGGATTCGTCGATAATACAGCTTTTAACGGTGCTCGAAATAAAAACCCATTCAACTTTAAACATTATCAAATCAACCACTTTTCACTCTACGTAGACGGAATGCAAATACCTTCTAAACCACTATTAACAGACTTCTCAAAAGATAAACTTTATGTTGAAGCTTACCAAACTTTATTTACTGGGACTGGTATTCATTTTCTTAACGAAGGAAATAATATTAATCGTTTCGACTATGCAAATGGATACTGCCTTTTTGCCTTTGATCTTACACCTGATCTCTCTGCTCATTGTTTCTCTCATTAGAATCTTATAAAACATGGAGCTTTAAGAATAGAACTACGTTTTGAAGAAATGCTACAAGAAACTATTAATTGTATTGTATATGCCGAATACGACAACGTTCTAGAAATTGATGCATCTAGACAGGTTATAACAGATTTTGGAGCTTAAGACGACATTTTGGAAATGTGAAGAGAAAGGGAATACAGTTATATCAGAACCTATATAAGGAAGAACTCAGTATACTTTTTCTTTTTAAAGAACACACAATACTAGTCGGGTACAAAAGTGAAAAAAGTTTTTACAAAAATACAAATTCGTGATCATTTTTAAAATGGTCGACTACGTTATAGACATACAAGGATTTCGTGATATAGAGGATAATTTTATGATCAAAGAAGTAGCTGTTATTGCATTGGATCGTAAATTTTTTGGACATTGGATTGTTGCACCACCACACTTATTTTCGGATCTACCATCCAGCATTAAACAACAAAATAATTGGCTTTCGTGTTTTTATCATGGTATTGAATGGTTCGATGGTGATGTACCTATGAAACATATTTATGCCAATTTACGTGAAGTAGCAAGAACATCCAGAAACATTTACACAAGAGGACGAGACAAGATTAAAGTTTTACAACAAATTATAAGCAGACAAGTTATTAACGTCGAAAATTTATCTTGTCCTTCCTTCAAGGAACTACCAGATAGTCGTGCCTACTGTTTTCACCACGGTGTAAAGAAAGAAGAATATTTTATTTGTGCTCTTAATAACGCTACTAAGCTTAAACGTTGGATTGAAAAATACAGAAAAGATAGAGCTATTTGTAATAACAGTTCTAAAAAATTAAAAATTATCAACGAAGTATCCTCAACACCACCTCTTCCTTATATTCCAGAGGTTGTAAAAAATAGTCAAGAAACCTCATTTCAAATCTTACCAGTGTCGACTATAACTACTGCAACTCCTACTTACGCCAATTACGAGGATATTGATACATCAAAGAATGAACAGTCTACAAATACTACAGTGTCTACGTCTCATAAACAACCATTCCGTTAGAGTTTATCCTGCTGATAAAATACCTCATTTTTTGACAAGACCGTCTGCAATTGTTGTTAATACCGATGACCCCACTAAACCTGGTACCCACTGGGTCGCTATACACATCAGCAAGGACGGCCGAGGAACGTACTTCGACAGCTATGGTCTCTTGCCTTTTGTTCCTCAACATCTGGATTGTTTACGAAGAAACTGCGCGTTTTTCAAATGGAACACAACACAATATCAAAGTACCTCTTCGACTGTTTGTGGACAATTTTGTATTATGTTTCTTTATTATATGTCTTTTAACTATTCTCTTCTCGACTTTAACTTACTTTTTACAAATAATTTATTAAAAAATGATTATATAGCTTCTAATTTTCAAAAAACATTAAAAATTAAACATAATTGTAACCATACTTCTACATCACACTCACATACACATAATTGTATTCAATCATGTACAACATACTGTATTACCCATAATTAATAAAATACACTTTATAATTTTATTCTCTTAATATGTAATATAGTTTTAATTAGTAGTACAATAAACTTACCTTTTTGAAATTGAAGTATTTTATTTCGTTAACCTACTTACCTATTCAAATAAACCTTCCACAATTTCTTTTCTGCTTTTTTTATCAATTTCCCATGATTCACTATTAAAACTATCACCTCATTAAACTTAGGCCCATGTACACTTTAATTTTCACCTCCACTTTTCCGACTCCATCTTGGACCCACTACTTTTTATTTTCCAAGACACACCCACATCCAATCAGATCCATGAACCATAAACCAACCAATCACAGCTCTGAACTATTCCTGCACATACGCCCATCCCCACCCCTTAGCCACACCCTCTCGACCAACCAGATTCGTGAACTATAAATAAGCCACGCCCCCTTAACCAATCAGATTGGAGAACTATAAATAAGCCACGCCCCTTAACCAATCAGATTCGTGAACCATTGCTGAGCCACTCTACTAACAGTTACTGTGCAAAATGGAAAAACAATGTTAATTCAACATTTATTTAGTTGAAAATTAATTTTTTTTATATATATGGGGCATGCCATGCCAAATCGAAAATTATTTTGCTTTTGCATCTCAAATTTTTTTTGAACATTTTTTTTCTTTTAGTACTCTTTGAAATGAGATACCTTGATTTTTTTCAAATTTTTTCATAAGGCGGTTCAGGAGATACAGATTTTTAAAAAATGACATTTTTTACGCATATTTTTTTTAAATGCTTATAACTCGGTCCAAAATTGATCAAATTGGACGTTTTTATAATGAAAAGTTTTGTTTTTACGCTTAGTTTTCAATAAAAATATTTTTAAAAACTTTAAAATAATTTACGATAATATTTTAAAAATTTTTAAATAAAATTTCATTTTTAACAATGTATGTATATCGATCAATTTTTTCAAAATTTTTTGTAAGAAACTAGCACTAAATTAACAATTTTTAAGCCTTGTCCGATCGTGGGCAAACGATGTGATCTATTTATTTAACATTTTTTAATTTTTATATACACAGTGAAAAAGGTAGGCCTAACTTGTCATTTGACCAAATCACAATTTTACACAGAAAGAAGGTTAAGTTTGGTGAGACTCGGTCTGAAAACACATTTTCTGTGAAAAATTTGTGTGATTTTGTCAAATGGCAAGTTAGTCATTTGGCCACCACTGCGTATATAAAAATTAAAAATTTCAAAATTAATAGATCCCATCGTTTGCCCACGATCGGACAAGGCTTAAAAATTGTTAATTTAGTGCTAGTTTCTTACAAAAAATTTTGAAAATTATTGATCGATACATACAAAAATCTGTATCTCCTGAACCGCTTTATGAAAAAATTTGAAAAAAATCAAGGTAGCTCATTTCAAAGAGTACTAAAAGAAAAAAAATGTTTAAAAAAAATTTGAGATGTAAAAGCAAAATAATTTCCGATTTGGCCTGGAATGCCCCATATACAAAGTATTTTTTAATAAAATATAAATTAAAACAAGCAAAAATAATATCGGCTATAATTTCAACGTTTTAATCTTTAGAGACATACTGCTAACTTTACTTTCCAGGGTTATGATAGAAGCCGCGAAAATACCCACATGTTAAAAAAAAGATGTCTTCATTACTGTAAATATTTATTAAAAATTAATTTTTTTTAACTAAACAAATTTTTTTATGAAGAACAATAATATATTTACCAAAATATAAAAAAAGAATCATCTCTTAAGGCGGTGTCAAAGTCGATTGGATTTTTGCATTGAGCTTCAATGGAAAAATCGCATCGACTTTGACACCGCCTTAAAGCATTATATGTAGACGTCCACATGAAAAGGGCCCATCTTGGCACTATTGGAGTTATCTATATATGGGCGTATTCTTGACAAAATTTGGAAAATTTTGAGTGGTCTTAGAACTTTTTTGGTTAAAAATTCGCTGAGTTACGGAATTTCAAAGTTTAGAACGCCAAAAACCTTATTTTTTGAAAAACGGAATTAAAGATTGCGATACACGGAGAGAAATTTCTGTTAACTCTTTGCCGTAAATAAGTTT